TATATATATATATAATCTCATTACCAGTCTGTCAATTTGAAATGCAACAGACATTTGTTAGAAATACAATGACTCACACATTCTCTCTCAAAACACACACCTACACGTGCAGACAAGTGCCTGCCCTCCAAAAAAACCCTTTTTCATTATCTTTCATTGATTTCAGGGCTTTGTTAATCTCAATCAAAGATCCCGCTAATAGCTTGGAAACTGCAGGGGAGGGGAGAGGCAAAATAAATCAAGTCTGAATTACTGAAATGTTCAACTTGTCTTTTTTCAGTTAGAACTTTGAAACACTTGAAAAGGAATGCTAATTAAATGAAAAGAGACTCATAATAACATGTTAGAAGAAGAAGCTTTTTTTTTCCTTTTTTTTTTAAAAGCAGTGATTTCTTAGTTTTCAAACTTATCAGCCTGCCTCTGGCAACACAGAATTTATTGTGCTCATTGATTAGTAATATGTATGCACGATTCATGTCTTTCTGAAGCCCATTTCACACAGAAAACCTTCTAAATCTGTCATGTTAAATTGTCCAGCAGAAATAATGTTCATCGATCTGTAGTATTTCCTATAAATTGGGTTCAGTCACTACAAGACAGTTGGCTGTGTGAACTAATTCAGGATGTTGCTGTTGGTGTTGTCCTGTCATTCCCTTTAGACTGCTTGTTAACCTCACACTTGCGTCCAGAAGCTTCCTTCTCTCTCATCTCCAGAGGCCGGAGAAATCTCTCAGCACAAAGTCTCCAAAATGTCAGAGCATATTATGTCCAATTATTGTAACCTTTTACGCGCTTGTACCAGAAACATGACTGTTTATTTATTTATTTATCCTTCAGTTCCAGAGTGCCTCCAGCTTTACCAAACACTCAGTTGAATCTGTGTAAAGGTAGATGATATAATTGCAAATTTTCTCAACAAGTCGGTTAGAAAACTATCAAGTATATATTTATGACCAGTGATATTTACGCCAAAAGTTTAATTAGACCCGATGAAAAAGACTCACTTGTTGTTTTTCAAGTCAAAGAGCATGAGAAGCGACCTGAGATTGTGCTCCAACATTTAAAACTGGTTAATAGCTCTACAAGATCCAGAAGCAACTTATTATTATTATTATTATCATTATTATTAGAACTATCTATAAAATCATTAATCATTCCTCTACACTCATTCTTTCTCTCTTTCTCACACACTCATTGTCATGTGTTGTTACATACCTGCATGATCTATATGTTATTCGGGAGAATGTCAGGCACGTTGTCACTGGTTTGAACTCGGTGTCTATTCTGACAGAACTTGTGCTGTGTTTCTGAGAGGCAGCATCTGTGTCTGTCCTGGCTGTATGTCTGTGTGCCTCTCATATGACTTTGAATTAAGTATTATTGAGTCTGGGCGTTCGTCAGGTAGAGATGGGGAGAGGAGGAAGACTGAGGTGAGCACGGGTGGAGAGCAGGGATGGAGGAAGGATGATAAGTAGGTTTGCGTTGTTGTGTTTGCTTGGGAGTCACACACAAACGTCCCCGAACCCTGATGGGGACGGAAGAAATGTGTGTGCGTGCTTGTGAGAAAAGTAAGCGAGTGAGGGGAGCGTCTTTGTCTCCTCCTAACCCTGTTTCTTAGCAACAACCATGCTGTGTCGCCACAGAGACAGAGGTGATGATGTCACCGGAGATCAGAGGAAACACGTACACCAAACACACGGAAACACGTGCATGCACACACTCACACACAAATATCCACTCATACATGCACATACAAACAGGTTTTTTGATTTTATTGGAAGACATTTGTTTCGTCACAAACTTCCACCATAATATTAACTCAGACATTACCTTAGTTATCTGTTTAAACACTGTAACTTCTTTGAAGAAGGAACCATCCTAAACACACACACACACACACACACGAGTCTGTGCACCAGGTGTTCCTGGGTGGGTGCAGAGTCTAGACAGAGGAGACATGTAAGGACAGGACTGAAACTGAGTGATGACAAAGAGAGGAGACAAATGATGCGGGCAGGGAATGCAGTGAAGGATAGCCGGGTATACTCCTGAGCTGAAGGTCTGATCCAGAATGGCAAACATGTTCAACAGCAGAAATAGAATAAATTCATGGAGCACCTAAATAATGACTTCTCTATAAATAAGGAAAATAAAAGTACTCATGTAAAAAAAAAATCAAACTAAAAAAATGGAAGGGTGTATAATGTGCGTGTGTGCAGATGTGTTCATTCAAATGGATTTTTGGCAAGTTAGCCCTTTTTCATCAGTTTACTTTGAAATGACAAATAAGTGTAATGACACTCTGTCGGTGGTCTTGGTAACTTGCAGAATGATTCTTTGGTGATAAAACAGACCAATAGTTGTCTGTAAAATGACTTCCAGGGTGGGAGGGCTTCTTCAGAACCAATTTCAGGTTCTAACACGTGTGGCTGAATTGCTCCAAAATTACAACTTCCGCTGGTATGCTAGAAATATAATGAGTTAGAAGGAGTAAATGCAGAGAGAGAGACATGGACTTATACGATCTGCACATCTGAAAGGAGCCAATGGTGTAGAGTGACATTTAAGTTACTTTAAGGACTGAAGGGATTATTTCATAGGGAAAAAAAGTATAAATATGTAACTTTGACAGGCAGAGATGAGTTTTTTTGTGACTTTAATTGGTCCAATAACTTGAAGAAAAGAACAGAGTAAAATCAAAAATGCATGCAGTGAAGCATGACTGGCATTTCTTTGTTGAGACGACAGTGACAAACGGCGCTAACAGACGTCTGTATCATCATACATCAGTGCTGACAACAGAGCTTGGAAACACGAGACCATGCAAAGTCATGTGTAAAACCAAGGTGTAGGTTTTTTCCCTTCAGAGACAGTAGTGGGTGTTATTTATTGACCTTTAACAGGAAGACAAACTATTTCACAGTTTCAGAGTGATCTCTAGCTGGCTTTAGCAAAGTTTGAGGTTAAAGTTCACTTTTGTTCAGCTTTGACGATGTCTATTTGCACATTTGGACAACAGAAACAGTGATGCATAGTGTTTGGAGATAGAGGTCATTATTCCAACAGTGTGCTTTCTCCCTGTTTTATACAATGCAGTGCCAGACTACACAGTGCGGTGATGCTCTCATACTCTGCTCAGGATTTACTTTTTACCTGTGGCAGACCTATGTCATCATATCCTTTGTAGAATGTGGTCTAACAATGGACTGCCATTCAGCTGGAAACTAGTGTGAGCATATATTCAGTCTTTCTCACTCACTTTGTTCTTCTTCTATCCGTCTTTTTTTTAGGTGCAGACTACAGACAGATCTGATTGGTTAGAATGCCCTGAAGGAGCAGCACTAATGAGACTACTGCAAGATATGACGACATCCAACAGGTGAGCACTCCTGCTGTTTGTATGTCATATACAGTATCAGTTTATTATCTCTGGTAGTTCGCATAGTCATTATTTGTCATTATCTGCTGCTAGAAATAAGTCACAGAGGCAGCAGTGTTAAGTACAGCATCCCATCTGTCCCAAACCACCTCAACTGACTCATTTTAACACAAAGTAGCAATGGTTCTCCTCTAAGCTCCTTCCTGAAGTCTGAGCTCCTCACCTTGTCCATGAGTGTGAATCAATAGATATTACAGAGGACACGTCAAGGTCAGCAGTTACTCTCCTTTGCCTTTAATAGCCCTGCCTCCTCTTCCACTGGATCCAACTCAACCCCAGGTGGTGATCAGCTGACAGCTCCTTTCTTTACCTGAGTGTCCAAGTTGTGGTCATATAGTAAAAAAAAAAAAAAAAACCTCATATGTCTTTTCCTAAAGTCTTTTCTGTGACCTTGATGCATCATGAGTCATGTTAATAGTTTGTTCTCATGAACAGCTCGATGGTTCCTCGCATTGAATGTTGCTGCCTCAAGGAATTGCTTGACAGCATTATCTTCTTGCCTTTTGCAAAGGACGGTCCGGTAAGCAGTAAATGGTCTCAGATAAGAATGGATGTGTTTCCTCAGCATTTAGATTACGAGCTTTTATTATGGTTGTCATTTATATATTTCTGGGTCATTTCACACAGTAAAAACCTTACTAAGCAAATGAGACTTTTTGACCACAACCTTGACCTCAGATTTGATGAGCCAACCACAAACTTAGTCAGCGGTCTAGGCTGCTCCGGTAGCAAAATATACTTATGAAAAACATTATGCTTGGTCAGGCTTTCCTCCCAATCACACTCTACGGTTATCTGCATCACGTGAGCGTTGGAGTCCACCAGCAGAACCACAGGTGTACAACTGGCAGGTTCTCTAACAAGGCCGAATACTGAGAACTGGTGCTCAATGCATAAGCTTTCCTTCACAGAAACCCTCTCGTCCTGCAGGGAAAACTTTAACACGGAGATGCTGGGGCCTTGTGAGTACAGCCAGGCCCACTGGTGTCTGGTTATGTTTTTAAGTGTGGAGAAAACCAAGTCAAGATGCAGCAACCTGCACTAATCTAGATTAGTTAAATTGAGAGTGCTGTGAAAACTAAAAATGCAGCCAAAACAGTTCATGATTGGGTGGATCAGGACATTGCAACAGAGAATCTGAGCGTCCCTGTTCCTATAGAAACACCCTCTCTCTCCTGGCTGTGTGTTTATGGCACAAAAAAAGAAGGAGAAACACTGTGCTGCTGCCGCTGACTGAGATTACTGTGAGCAGCATGTAAGGGAATTAATTGCAGTATAATAGATTTGTGGATATTTCTCGCTTTCCCTCTGATTGCTCTGAATAACTCACTGCTGCACTGTGCTGCTGCTGCTGCTGCTGCTGCTCTGTGTGTCTGTCTGGATGCTGCCATTGTCCTCTGTTCGTGCCAGGACATTATCAGTTATTAATTTGTTTTTCCCTGGGTGAGAAAATGGATGTGTGGTGTGAGAGCGTGTGAAAAGTGGTTTGCTTGAGTCTCACGGTCAGTGTGAGAGATTTGGCAACCACATTACAGTTAAAAGAGTCAATTCCAAAGGTTTGATTATACTTCATGACACCATGGACACGTAGTTGTTGTTGTTATATTTTACTTTCTAGTCCACTTGGAGGACATCAAGCGTTCCATACATGTGCAGTCTGCATCTACCCATTCCAAGCATGCACACTGAGCATGTGCAGTACTGCCCTTGAAGCAGCCATGCAGACTTTTTGGGCTGCTCACAGGCATCCATAGAGGTGCCTCGCAGACTTTAATGGACTTGAGATAATGTCTTTTTGTCACATGGACCCCAATTTAGTCGTGAATAAAGAAAGTATAACAATGGCCTGATTGGTTCCTTTGCTAATTGAGTATGCCGTGGTAAAACAATGCCTCAACCAAATTAACAGTAATGCAACCATGTTAGATTTTTAGTACTTGTTTGTCATTTGCTGACAGTAGTTGACATAGGCAGCCATAAATAGAATCATCTGATTGCAAGGACTGTATGATGACTATATTGTAAAAGGTGGGGAAACCAAACCATTATTACTCCTTTATTTAAATAGCAGGGATGCATTTACTCCTTTTGAACACCTAAAAAACACATATAGATATAGCAGCTGGTTAAAGATCACTCTATTTGGGCACTGCTATAGCTCACCTGGTTGAGCTGGCATCCCATGTGCAGGGGCTATAGTCCCCAACGCAGAGGTCATGAGTTTGAATCCCGCTCATGGCCCTTTTCTGCAGGTCCTTCCCCCCTTTCTTCTCCCCCACTTTCCTGTCTCTCTCTCAACTGCACTTCTCAAATAAAGGCAAAAAGGTCAAAAAAATAACAACAACAAAAAAAAAAGATCACTCTGTACTATCCATAGAAATCTTGTCACTGTCATTATTCCTAAGGTGTCCTGATCACAATGTGTGAGCATAACACAGGGTTTCTGGAAAAATGAGGACTTCCTGCTGTGTTTGGGCTCCGTCAATGTGCAATTCAAAGCTCCTGTGAAGTCGGTCAGCGACTTCTTCAATTACAACTCTTTTTATGATGAATTATAAAGGTGTGGATGACGGGAGAATCACCTTGCAGCCTCTCCCCATACCAAGGTCAGTTCATGGTTCCTAAATCTGCAAGTGTACACATAATATTATTTCGTCCTCCACCCAAGTCCACAAGGGTCCACAAGGGTCCACAAGGGTCTGTGCAGAACGTCCACATACTGCCAAAACTGTGTGAGTACAAACATGCTGACTGTGCAGTTGCCAGAAAAACAAGTTGTGCTTAAAACAAATGTTTGCTATTGGAAGAGACTGTGTGAGTGGATTCTCTGTCATCCACACCTTTAATATTTGAATTGCCCATTAGGATCCACTCCATAAGCAACTGTTAGGTGTGTCCTTGTAAGGTCCTCATTTTCTGTTTTAGTTTTGAAATCACACCTTAGAGGATACCAACAATCTTTGTGAATTTTGTCTCATCCAGTTCTTTGTCTCATCTTACAATTTTTCTAAGTGTCTGAACATGTCTGTGCATCATACATGCCAAAACTTGGAGGTCTCCTGACATCTGATATCAGTGGCAGGAAACATGATCTGCACTTTCCTCAAAGTACAAAGTAACAGCTCTCCTTCAAGAGTTTGGGAATTCCAAGGCCAGTTGTTAGTTTTCTAAGAGTAACTCACAAAACATTTAGAAACAGTTAATTTGTATCCCCAATGGCAAATGTTAGATTTCAGTAAATTGAAAAAAATTCTGAAATGCAGTGTATGTGTGTGTGTGTGTGTGTGTGTGTGTGTGTGTGTGTTCCCATGTGCACACCTGCATCTCTGCATCCAGCTGTCTTTTATCAGTATGTCGGCTGAATGTGTGTTCCCGCTTTGAGCCGAGGGTTTTGTCACCGTAGCGACCATGCTTCCTTTGATCTTCTGATGTATGAGACCAGCGACCTGTC